GGACCGAACCAGGACCGAACCTCTGCACCACAACGGGACAAAACCACCTGATGAAGTCCAAACCGTGGTGAAGATCAAACAGCAGCAGGCTTTTATTTTCAGCACCAGTCTGGATCAGCGACTCGCTGTCTGAGGCGTTCAGGGGAACCAGAGCGAGGAGGACAGCGAGGCGCTCTGCTGGTTCTGTTGTTGCTGTCGGACCTCCACCACTCCACTAACCTGAAGAAGAACCTTTGTTTGAGATTGAAGAAGCTCAGCAAGGCTCTTCAGTGAGGACCTTAACGGGACCAAACAGACTCTTACTCCCAGACTTAGATGTGTCTCTGCAGCGAGCCCTGAGGAGGAGATGCTGCTCATTTGTGTGACTTTGACTGCTTTGATTTGCATCTGGATGTAAATTGGACCAACAGAGCAGGACGAAGCTGCACAGACATGAAGTCCTCGACTGTCAGTGACGTCTTTCAGTCGGACTCTTCACTGGAAGTTTAAAAAGAAAAACCTGCAGCAGCAACATAACAAAGCAGTTCATCCACAGACTGGTGACCGTCGCTACAGCAGAACGACGTGATGAACGCAAAGTCCTCCAGGAGACTGGACCAGCAGAAGAACAAGGAACCAACATGGACTGGAGGTCCAGAAAAACAAGGTCACAGGAACATACTGGACCAGACAGAAATACTGGACTCCATAAAGTTTAGTCTGTTAATTGAAAATAACGAGTAAAAAAAAATAACAGATTCCATCAGGTTCTCCTCCTCCAGTCGGGTCCAGTAGAACCTTCAGCTCCATCACTGGTTCAGCCTGAACATCTGGACGCTGCAGCTTCACCTCATTCTGATACAACTGTTCAGACTCTGTCAGGTTCTACAGGGATCATGAGGGAACAGAACTGTTCAGGTCCAGACTCTAATTCTCAGCTGGATGGAGGTCTGGACTCTGATTGGGCCTCCAGAACTTCACCGTGCTTCACGTCATGATGCTGCCTCCTTCACTAGTCTTCTTCTTGTACCTCCTTCAGAGGAGCCATAGGTGTCTTGGTGGCCAGGAGTACTGATCCACCAGGGACTGGACCTTCCAGTCTTTTCACTGTGACTTTTAGCACCAACTGGCTCAGTTCCATTTCTGTCACTTTGAAGGAGGCCGATGACATTCAATTTATTCACTTCACTTTGTTGAAATCTGGTTTTACTTTGACATGAAGCGTCTTTTGTTGTAAATTGTTGTCCAAACAGAACCAAGGTAAACGGACCAGGTCTCAGTGTTACAGGAGGAAGCGTCCACGTTGGCTGTTCAGGGTCACTGAAGCAGAGCAGGTGAGGACGTTTCTCCGTCTTCTTTTTCCCGTTAGTCAGGATCTCTTGTTTGTGTGTGGACTGAGTTCTGGCTCCGGTCCGGTGGATCTCCACGTCACTGTGGATAATCACCTTCCCAGGAGGATGAATGGAGGCTTCAGCGGCTCCATTCAGTGGCAGGATGAAGAGGAGGAGGAGGAGGAGGAGGAGGGAACGCTTCACAGAGACAAATGTTCTGCTGTGTTACGACCCGATCAAGACTCGCTGGCGTGACTGTTGGTTTGTCTAGAGGGAGGAGTCCAAACTGTGGCCCGTGTCCATTTACGTAGTTCAGAGATGTTCTTCATTTACTGACTTCTAAAAGCAGCTTCTCATCAGGTGGTCATGTGACCAACGACCAATCAGAACATCATGTATTCATGTTGTTTTCCACTTTGGCTGAATGAGATTTTAGAACCAACATAACGACCAAGTTTTCATTGTGTTCAGGATTTGAACCCTTAAAGCACCAGAAACACAAATTCTTTAATCTAATCAGAAATCTGACCCCAGGACTGGTTCCTGTGCCGGGTCCGATTCAGGAACCAACCAGGGATTTTCTGTTCAGTTGAATAAATCTGAGTTTACAGGTTCTGGAAGTTCACCAGACTCTGAAAATACTGAAACAGTT